AATTTATTGATTCTGAAAGAAGTCATTGACAAAGAGGAGGTTGGTGTACTAAACCTTTGTCATAAAGTTTACTTTTTAAAGGTAATTGATCTCTAAAGGTAGCAAAAAAATTTTTTTTAATTTATTTATTTATTGGAAAGTCAGATATACAGAGAGGAGGAGAGACAGGAGGAGAGACAGACAGGAAGATCTTCCATCCTATGATTCACTCCCCAAGTGAGCGCAACAGCTGATGCTATGCCGATCTGAAGGAACTTCTTCCGGGTAGCCCACATGAGTGCAGGGTCCCAAAGCATTAGGCCATGCTCGACTGCTTTCCCAGGCCACAAGCAGGGAGCTGAATGGGAAGTGGAGCTGCCGGGGTTAGAACCGGCGCCCATATGGGATCCTGGCGTGTTCAAGCCTCTAGGCCACTCCGCCAGGCCCAAGGTAGCAAATTTTTAAGGTTAAAGTAAAGTGGACAGTAATGGAAATGAGTTTAGAGTTACGTTCTAAAGATAATTTTATAGTAAATATTTGCATAAAGTTAAAATGTTCATAAAGTCCAGGTGACAGTTGTGGAAAGTACCTCTCATTCTGGGAATAAAGTGATTAAAAAATGTCAGTTCAGACTGTTTCCTGCAGAACTTCTTAATTTAGTAAGAACAACACATTATTTATTGCACAGCTGTTTGGGTGATTTAGGCTGATGTGGCAGCCATGGAAATTTTACGTACACAGTGAGTGAGTAGAAGTTAATATAGGTAAATGTGTTCGGTAAGCAAATGAAAGGCCCCATGGGGGCTAGTATTGTGCACAGCACTTTAAGCTGCCACTTGAAGGCTGGCATCTCATATCATAGTCTGCTTCAAACCCTGGCTGCTCTGTGTCCTATCCAGCTTCCTCTAAAACGCCCAAGAAAACGGAAGATGCCAAGTGTTTGGGCCCCTGAACCTACCAGATAGTGTTTCTGGCTTTGGCTTGGCCCAGAATCTGGCTGTTTGCTCTTTCTGTATCTCTTCCACTCTCCTTTCCCTGAAACCAGCCAACCAGTAATCAATAATCTTTACAAAAGAAAAGCTGTATGGCATGTGTTCTTAAGAAGTTAAGACTAGTGCTTTTTAGGAAGGAGGGATATGTGGTCAGATTTATATTTTAAAATAGGCAGCTGTAATAAATGTGGCACGGAGTTTTAAGGGATGGAGATGACAAAAGATCTCTGTATTGTCAGGAAAGATTCTGAGAAAACACAGAAATGTGAATCAGAGATAATTAGAAGAAAAAGAGATCATTAAGACAGCAGAAAGTACCACAGTTGAGAAAGTAGAATGCATCAAAAATAATTCCTCAAAGAACTGTAATTTTTGCAGTTTTGCTAAGTTCGAGATATTTGTTAGGCGTTCATGTACAAATGTCTTGGAGGCATTTTGTTACACAGATGAATGATTTTGTACTTTTTTCTTTAATTTTGGTAAGATTTATTAATATAATTTTTATGCCTTTCTCAATTTTAAGTGATATTTTGAAATTCTGGTTGAGAGTATGGTAAAGACTAGACCCTGGGTAATATGTCACTGAATGAATTTTGAAGAGTTTCTTGTCAGAGTAAGAATATAGTGAAAAGCAACAATGCTTTTATTCTCATGTAATAAGATAATTTAAGTCATGTGAAATGAGGGAGTAAAAACACAAGGGAAATGAAAATGTATTAAAATGTCATTAATCAAATTGAAATAATGGTGTTAAGGAATACATCATTTAAGCAAATATATTTTTACTTGAAAGGCAAAGTTACAGAGTGAAGCAGAGAAGAAGAGGGATTTCTCCTCTGCGTGTTCACTCCCCAGTTGGCTGCGATGGTCAGACCTGAGCACATTTGAAGGCAGGAGCCAGGAGCTTCTTCAGGGTTTCCCATATGGGTGCAGGGGCCAAGGACTTGAGCCATTTCTGCTGCTTTCCTCAGCCATAAGCAGAGAGCCAGGACTCAAACTGGTATCCACATAGAATGCTGGAGCTGCCAGCCTACTACACCATTGCACTGACCTCAAGATACACAATTTCTAACAATTAAATTGGTAAATTTGTTCATTAAGCACAAAATCTTCATATGTGCTTTATTTATTATAGTCAAAAGCTAGAAACAAATGCCACTATTTCGTATGACAAAAAGGAACAAAACGTTGAGACTTGGGGTAGGTTTGAGATATCTTGTCAAATGAGAGAATCTGACCTTGAGGGGCTGTATATTGCATGTTTCTGTTTGATGTTCTCCAAAAGACATAAGTATGCTCAAGGAAAACATGTTCCTGGCTTCTGGAGTTTCTGGGTAGGGAGATGATCTGATTATAAAGTAATAGTGTAAGAATGTATTTTGGAGGTAATGGAGCTATTCTAGAACCTGATTTTGGTAGTAGTTGCATGGATTTTCACATATTTTAGACTTTGTAAAACTACAGCAAGAGAAAATGTAAGCTTACTGTATGAAATTATGAACATATTTATAGTTAGGAAAAACTGATAAAGATGATCTATTGTGTTGATAAAGGTAGACTGAAGTGGATATTCTCTTGATGGATAGGAATATCATTGGCACAATATTTTCTCAGGCAAGTTTGTCAGGTTAGCATGTACGTCAAGAAGTTTGTGCAAAGTAGAATTCAGAAGTAATTTTACTTTGGTACACATCTTTTTTGAAATAATGCATATTAGAGGTTTTCAAAATGTTCATAAAAATTATGTTAAGAAAAAGTACATAAGTTTCAAAAATGTTTTGCACCAAAGTAAGCTTACATTTAATTTCACTTACCACAAGCTTTTTGACATATCTTCATATTGCTGAAATACAGTCTAGACTCTGTAGATCCATGAGTGCCTCTAAAGGACGTATAAATGATCTCAGTTCTTATAATGACAGTTGATTTTCAGGCTTTTGGGAGTTTGATGTACCTGGCTTAAAAATGTACAATTTGTGTGTATGTATGCATGTTGTATGTGTATGTGCACGCATGTATGCATGTGTATGTGCACATGTGTGTGTGTATCAGGGTAGTATTCATGATACCCAAGTGTCCAGCAAGCATCCATCAGTGAAATGGATAAAAAATGGTGGTATATGCGAAGGATATTGAAGAATTTAAAGAGGCATTGGTGCTGTATTGTGCAGGCTAAGCCTCTACCTGTGGCACCAGAATCTAGTATGGGTACTGATTTGAGTTCTGGCTGCTCCAGTTCTGACCCAGTTCTCTGCTTGTGGACTTGGAAGGCACTGGAGGAGGGCCCAGATCCTTGGGCCCACATGGAAGACCTGAAAAGAAGCTCCTGACTCCTGGATGCTGACAATCCCAGCTCCCATTGTGGCCATTTGGGGAGAGAACCAGTGGATAGAACTCCCTTTGTCTCTCCTTCTTTCTGTGTAATTTTGCCTTTAAAAAATGAGTAAACTTGTCTTTTAATATATGTTCCATGATTTTTTGAGACTATTCTCATTAAGGGGAAGAGGAAATCCTGTATTTAGTGATGACTTGGTGCATTTGGAAGATGGAACTAAGTGAAATGAGACTAGAAAACAGTTACTCTGATCTCTCTTGTATGGAGAGCTTAAAACCAGCTAAGTTAGTAGAAGCAGAGTAGAGTGGTAGTTGCCAGGAGGAGGTGGGTTGAGGAGAGGGAGATGATAATCAAAGGATGCAGAATTTCAGTTAGGAGGAAGAGATTAGTGCGTGTTGACTATAGTTAACTATGTTTAATGCATTTGAAAAATGCTGTGAAATGACTTTCAATGTTCTCGGCACAGAAAGTGAAAATGCATATGTTAATAGAAATTCGTTTGATTTTACCATTTCGAATTGAATACATAGATCACAACAATATGTTGGTAACTGCTTGGGTGAATGGGATAGGATTCAGGATTTGTGATGAGCTTTTCACATGTCCACAGGGTGTTGTCATCTGTTGAGCTGCCTCTTTCAGGATGGGTGACACTGCAAAGGGATTGCTTCCAGAGCCCAAGAATACTCCTGTCTTCATCAGCTGCCGTTGCTAGGTTGATTTCCCACCCCTCTGACACTGTTGTTTGCCTGGTGTAGTCAGGGTGCGAAGGAGCTGACTCCGTGTTCACAGGCATGCCTGTGCTGCCTGGAGGAATATGCTCTGTAGGAAACGGTTGTGTTCCAGAGGTGTGGGCCTTGCTGGGTGCTGACTCTGTGCTGGCAGGGGTAAGACTGCTCTGCAGGAAGCAGTCGGTGCTCCTAGAAGCATAGGCCTTGTTGTGTGCTGGTCTTGTGTATTGAAGTCAGGAGACCCACAGAAGATGTTCCCTAGGTTGATTTCCCCCAGTTGACAGGCATGTTGCCTCATATTCAATCTTGAACATTCTTCACTGTGTTTGTCAAAGGCAATATTTACTGGTTGAAAAATGGGGAGGAATATTATTCATTTGACCATGTTTTTCTAAAAGCCATTTTCATGATGGTGATGATTATTTCGGAACCCACTTATGTTTTTATTTCAGTTACTACTGATAAGTAATACATTTGAGGAAATAAAAGTATCTGAAATTGAAAGCAAAATAATCATTAGAATCAAGAAATATTTAAAGTAGGGAAAAAACACATGAAAGAAACCAAGTTTTCTTCAGAGATATCTGTAACCTCCTTTTTCACTGATCACATCAACGTTAATTCAATCATTTGTCAAACAGGATTTTAGATATCTTTCTGTACTTGTAGATATTGAAATAATATCTTTCATTTCCAGTGTTTTAAAATGTGTGTAGTGATTGTCAGTTGTTTGTTTTAATTGTGTTTTTATGGTGTCGTGACTGATGACGAGCCATTTGCATTGCCTCTAACATTTGGATTTGTTAATTTCCAAATGCTAACAAATGCAATGAGTATTTTTTCATATTGTTTCTCAATACAGTCTGATTTTCTTGTGCCTCCTTTTTTTCATTTGAACGAGCTTGCTGTTCAGACATCGACTTCATCTTTATAAATTGGTTTTAATTTTATTTTTCATTCTAGTTGCTCCAGCTGCTAAAGAAACAATAGTGTGTAAGAGACAAGAAGAGGAGTCGTCTGGAAGCCTCATTAAATATTTCAGTGTTGTTTGGTGTAAGGCTTCAAAGAAAAAGCACAAGAAGTGGGAAGGTGATGCTGTCCTTATTGTAAAAGGAAGATCATTCACGTTAAAAGATTTAGAAGGCAAAGACATTGGGAAAGGTATATGATATTACCTCACACTTATTATTGCACTAGTATTAGTGAAGTCTCTGATTTTAAAGTTAAAAAACAATTAGATTTTGTAAAGGGTCAGATTCAAAAGCTTTTAGATTGACTTTGATTGTTTCAGCCAAGCATGATATGGAAAATTATCTCATGGTGAGTGGGCATTGTGGCACAGTAGGGTAAGTTCCTGCTTGGAATTCTGGCATCCCAAATTGGAGTGCCTGGATTGAGTCCTGACTCCTCTGCTTTCAGTTCAGCTTCCTGCTAGTACTTCAGTCCCTGACACCCACAGAGGAGAGCTGGATGGAATCCTTGGTTCCTGACTTTGCCTGGTTCAGCCCCAGCTGTTACAGGCATTTGGAAAATGAAGTTATAGATGGAATATCTTGCTTTATCCCCATCACTCTGCCTTTCCTATAAGTAAATCTGTTGAGAAACATAATTTTATAATGATTAGTGACTGACAATCTTAGGGCCTATGTTAGCACATTGTCACTAATATTATTTTGTGGTCTCATTTTCTCTATGGTTGGCTAAGTATGTACAGTCATTTTGATATTTTCCTGAGATTAGTGCTTGTGTTGGTGTACTCTCTTCTTTTTTCTTTGTAGAATAATAAGTATAAACATTTAAAAAGATATTGCTACCAGGAATTGATTGAAATTTAGTTTCAGTGCTTCTTGATAAAGTTTTTAAAAATAAAACAGGGAGATATTGGTTCCACTTAACTTAGATGAACAGAATTGGAGTTTATTATTATACCTATGCTAACATAAATTAACCTACAATTTGAAAATGTCTGATATCAACCCCCTCTTTTGTTTTTAATGAAAGTGAGTGAAGCAGAGAGAGATTCCATTCATTGGATCACTTCTCAAATGACTACACTGGCAGGGCAAGGAAGCCAGGAGCCTGCATTTGCCGCTGGGGCTCCCACACTGATGCAGGAACCCAAGGACTTGGGTCATCTTCTTTTGCTTTCCCAGGTGCATTGGCAGGGAGCTGGATCAGGGGTGTAACAGCTAGGGTTTTGACCAACAAATTCTGTTTTTTCTTTTTTTTTTTGGCAGTTTTTATTCAATTTTGAGTGTGACCTACAAGAGAATCTTTTCTGTTTCATTCATTTACTTAAAAATATGGTTTGTAGCTTTTAGCAGCTGTATGTGCTACATAATATGCTAGCAATAAAAATTCAAACATGAGCCTAAGTTACAGTTTGATGGGAACAAGGTAATGTCATTGATAACTAGGATCCAGTAAGCTAGATAATTGTTTCAATGAGAATTTTTATTTTAGTACAGTAGGATTGTAAAGGACCATCTGAGACTTCCTAGGAGACTAGGGTAAGCTCGACCAGAGTTACTGTCTAATACTTTGGAAGGTGGTGGAAACAATGGTATGTGTCCTTTTGAACTGTGTCATGAAAAATAAAAATAGAAACAGATACACACACACATGGCAGGAAGGCAGCATGTGTAAGAGCATGTACCAAAGCACACATGCTAATAGAAATCAAGCTAGTTAACCATCTCAGGAATGTAATGATCATGAAGGACAGTGAAAAGGTGGAAAGAGATGAGATCAAATTATCTGCAAAGGAACATTTTACTTACTATAAGAATATAGAGCAACTACTGTGGGCGAAGTGTTATGCTCACTGATTAGAGGAATTAAAAAGAAAGCTGTCAAGTTCACAGTCTGTGTTTTTGATTTCGGTAAATTTCTGCTAGAGTTTTGGAGAATTTATTCATGCGGTGATGTTACTTTTTGAGTGAACTTATATTCTAAAGGCAACTAGAGAGGCACATTTCTCATGACAGCACTCAGTAAACGTCTATGTAACTAATAGTGTCTCTTGGTAGTATAAAATACCCAGCTGTTTGTTGGAGAGCTGGAACTTGGGCTGTTTTAAGGTTGTTGTCTCCTGGGGAACAGTGTAGCACTGGTTTATAGTTAGCAGTTCGATTTTTTTTTTAAGATTTATTTTTATTGTAAAGTCAGATATACAGAGAGGAGGAGAGACAGACAAGAAGATCTTCCATCCGAGGTTCACTCCCCAAGTGAGTGCAATGGCTGATGCTGTCCGATCCAAAGCCAGGATCCCAAGAGCTCTTTCAGGTCTCCCACGCAGGTGCAGGGACCCAAGGCTTTGGGCCATCCTTGACTGCTTTCCCAGGCCACAAGTAGGGAGCTGGATGGGAAGTGGAGTTGCTAGGGTTAGAACTGGCACCCATATGGGATCCCGGCGTGTGCAAGGCGAGGACTTTAGCCACTAGGCCACGGCGCTGGGCCCACCAGTTGCTTTTGTTGCCAGTCAGTTCTCCTTCATATTTCCAAGTGTAAGTATTTCTGAGTGGAAATAGAAGATAGTGTTTTCAGGTTTCTTTACAAGAAAGTAGGGCTCGTGTAGATTCTCATACTCTGTAGTTGGCTTAATTTTGCCAGACAAGAGGTTATAAAACAGTAGAGTGCATTCAATAAAGAAAAACTGTCTCTAAAGTATATCTAATTTTTACAGCTACATTATTATTTTTTCTGAATTTTAGTTATATTCTTTTTAAAAAAAATCCTGAATTGTAAATTGTTTTCATTCTGGCTAATGGGTTAAACAAGATTCTTTACATTCAAAGTGATTCTTATACTGCATAGACCTGGGTAGGTGACAGTGATATTATTAAGTCATCTCATAGTTTTCTTTGTTTTGTTTCCCCCTCCTCCACTTCCTCAACTGAAAGGCATTGGATATAAATTCAAAGAATTTGAAAACATTGAAGAGGGTCAGACACTGATGCTCGGCGGGAAAGAAGTAGAGGTCATGGGTGTGATCTCTCCGGATGACTTCAATAGTGGCAGGTGCTTTCAGCTTGGAGGGGGAAGTGCTGATGTCCCAAGTACTTCTCAGACTGCCCGCAAGTGTTTCTCCAATCCCTTTAAAGGTGTCTGTAAACCAAGTTCAAAAGAAAATAGACGGAGTGATTTCCAGAAGTGTAAACCACGTCATAACCCTTACACACCAAGTAAGATTTTAAAGATAATTTCAGTGTTTCTTCTGATTTAATGTCACAACTTATCTGTTAATTTGAAGTTTAAATATTGTTTTAAACTTTTCAGCTGAAATGTATATTAGGTCCAACATATAGAGCAATATTGAAGTCAAGTAACAATAGAATTTGGGAATCATTTCATGTGGAAATACATAATTTAAGGAATACAGTAAGCAAAACACTATATTAGGCAAGTATAAATCATTGGTATATGCATACATGTAATTTTGAATAATATTTACATTATTAAGTAAAAAATCATTATGTTTGTGAATCAGGATTTTGATTTATAGTTCTGATTTGAAGACTTTACGCCTTGATTACACATTTGTTAATATTTTGAATGGTGAGGAATCATGTAAAGAATTCAGATGTTACATGTGAAAGTTCAGTTCAGTCACACTGATGAATTTTATCTACTGGTTCACTCCCCAAGTGTCCGCAATGGCTGGAGTTGAGCCTACCTGAAGCCAGGAGCCAGGAGCTTCTTCCAGGTCTCACACATGGGTGCAGAGTCCCAAGGCTTTGGGTTGTCCTCGACTGCTTTCTCAGGCCACAGGCAGTGAGCTGGGTGGGAAGTGGAGCAGCTGGGTCATGAACTGGCACCCATATGGGATCCTGGCTTGTGTAAGGCAAAGAATTTAGCCACTAGGCTACCACAATGTAAGCATTGTCCTTTTCAAAAGTAAACAAGAGTGTAACCATTGGTTGGAAACTCACCGAGTTCCTTTGCTTTCCTTCAGGGTTATAGAGAAAGATCAAGGACTGAATTTTCCATTTTTACTTCCTATATCCTTATCTTACAAAAATTGACATCCATGATGAAAGTTCCTTTAGTTAATTCAGAAACCTAGAACAGTCCACAGAACTTATCCTATGAGTAATTGCAAATGGCAAACATGACCAAACTCCAATTGTTGTTGCTGTATATTACCATGTTGATATTTATTTATTGGTACATATATGTTTTTATCTTCCCTTTTCTTTGTCCTTTTGGCTTGTTTCTTATCTGACTAATTTTTTTTTGAGACTTTTTATTTTTATTGGAAAAGCCGGTTTACAGAGAAAAGGGGAGACAGAGAGAGAAAGATCTTCCAATCGCTGATTTATTCTCCAAGTGGCCGCAACGGCCAGAGCTGAACCAATCCAAAGCAACATGATTAGCACTGAAAAATAGGAGCCAGGAGCTTCTTCTAGATCTCCCACATGGTTGCAGGGTCCCAAGTATCCAGGCCATTCTCTACTGCTTTCCCAGGCTGTAAGCAGGGAGCAGAATGGGAAGTGGAACAGCCAGGACATGAACTGGTGCCCAAGTGAAATGTGGTGCCCAAGTGAAATGTGCAGGTGGAGGATTAGCCAGTTGATAAGCCTTTTTCTGGCCTGATTAGCTTCAGTTTTTTATCATGATGTAGACTTCACAAGTATAATTCCAAATCTGACATTAGGTTTATTAATCGAGACTTTCCTTCTAGTAATTTTGATGTTACTATCTTTTGGGTAATGTTTTAGTAAATATTTTATATTTATTTAGCATTTTAAAAAATTACATTATTTTTCAGTGTTACTCATGTTGCTTTGCTCAATTGACTTTAAGCAAATAATAGTGCCTTAGTGGAAAATGTATATTTTCTCAATCGGATTAATAGGAATAGAGTCAATATTAGTCTGCACAGAGCCCGGCGCGATGGCGCGGTGGTTAAGGTCCTCGCCTTGCATGCCTGGGATCTCATATGGGCGCCGGTTCAAATCCCGACAGCCCCGCTTCCCATCCAGCTCCCTGCCTGTGGCCTGGGAAAGCAGTCGAGGACGGCCCAAAGCCTTGGGACCCTCTACCTGCGTGGGAGACCCGGAAGAGGCTCCTGGCTTTGGATCGGCATAGCATCAGCCGTTGTGCTCACTTGGGGAGTGAATCATAGGATGGAAGATCTTCCTCTCTGTCTCTCCTCTCTGTATATCCACCTTTCCAATAATAAAAAAAAAAAATATTAGTCTGCACAGGACTGAAAATAGAAGGAGTCTTTTCTGTTAAGTTTGTGGAACCTTCACAGAATAAAGAGCTGTGAGCATTGTCAAATGTACCTTGGAAAGATTCCAGCCTGTGCTTTAGTTGGAAATAGTTCTTTTTACTCTGAATGCCGAACTGTTGGATGCTGTGATTTACATATTCTTTATTAGAAATTGGTTAATTACAGTGTTTCCAGAGCGTTTCTATTTTATTTATGTATTTATTGGTAAAGTTTATTTAAAAGGCGTACAAACCACAAAAACACAGTGAGAGAGAGGCCAGAGAGGGGAAAGGTGGGAGAGAAATGTTTCTTCTTTGATATATATTGTGTCATGAGAAGAGTCAGGGCATCAGCCCCATTACAAATCAGGAGCCAGGAGTTTCTTTGGAGTCTCCCAAGTTTGTGTAGGGTCCCGAGAATTGGGCCATCCTCTGTTGCTTTCTTAGCCATTAACAGGGTGCTGGGTGGAAAGTAGAGCAACCGGGGCACAAATTGATTTCTGTATGGGATGCTGGGACTTGCAGGTGGATGCTTAGTCTGTTGAGCCACTGTGTCAGCCTCTGGACAATCTTTGTAATTGCATGAAGTCCTCCATCAGTCAGGAGTGTGATTTTCTGTTTTATTTCTTTGCTTAGTAGTGGTATCAATACCTTTTATACAGTGCTATCTTAAAAGTAATGGAAACAAGGTAAGGTAGTTGCTGACAAAGCGAAATTATATTTATAATTGTCCTGTTGCTTTTTCTTCTTTAAAGATTCCCTTGTTATGCCGCAGCCAGACAAGAACCATCAGTGGATGTTCAATAAAAACTGTTTCCCGCTTGTGGATGTAGTGATAGATCCTCATCTTGTGTCTCATCTTCGACCACATCAGAAAGAAGGAATTATATTTCTTTATGAATGTGTAATGGGAATGAGGTAGAAAAATAAATCAATCATTCTGTGCCATCTAGGTTTTGATTTAATGTGTAATGTTGATTTTCTTAGAGCCTGATACAATGGATCTTGAGAGTACACCATGAATCTTAGTTGTTGGCAAAGGTGAATGATATTTAATGTGGGCCTCAGTTCCAAAAAAAATGGATAGTGGGTGTCATGTGCCTTTGAGAATTCTTGCTAGGAGGTTTTGATACAGATGTCAGAGCCACAGAACCATGTTTCTTACTTTACAAGTAGCTTGTAAAGTATGTAAATAGATAAATATAGTCATCTTTAATGTGTGGCAATAGTTCACTATTAGGATAATAAACAGTTATATGAATAAGTGGAAGGTGCCTTTAATTCTGCGAATAAGAATTTTGGAGAAAAATCTTCTGTCTTACTGTTACTTCTACAAAAAGAAAGATGTGTCTCTCCCTTTTAAACTGAGTTTTATGATAACAAGTTGGTATATTTCCTTGTCTTTTTCCTGAACTTTTTCTCTTTATTTTGCTGCATTTTAAAATGCATAGGCCTTTCAAAAATGATTTTATTTCATTTATTTGGAAGGCAGAATTACAGAGAGGGAAGAGCAGTGGGGAGAGATAGGGAAAGAGGAAGAGAGAAAGAATCTCTCATCTGCTGACCAGGTTGAAGCCAGGAGCCAGAAGCTTCATCTGTATCTCCTTCCTTGGTGTGGGGGCCCAAGTGTTTGGGCCAACCTCTGCTGCTTTTCCAGGAACATTACCAGGGAGCTGGATCTAGAAATGGAGCAGCTAAGACTTAGAATCAGCACCTATATGGGCTACCAGCATCAAAGGTTGTGGTTTGACAATGCCAACCATGATCTTTGACCTTTTTTTTCCTAAGATTTATTTTTTTTTATTATTTATTTTTGAAAAAGCAGATTTACAGAAAGGAGAGACAGAGCTTCTATCTGCTGGCTCACTCCCCACAATGGCTGCAACGGTCAGAGCAGAGCTAATCTGAAACCTGGAGCTTCTTCCAGATCTCCCACATGGGTGCAGGGTCCCAAGGCTTTGGGCTGTCCTCGACTGCTTCTCAGGACCACAAGAAGGGAGCTGGATGGGAAGTAGAGCAACTGGGACAGGAACCGGTGCCCACATACAGAATCCCAGTGCCTTAGCTGGCAGGTGAACCAATTGAGCCATCATGCTGAGCCCTGAATTTTGATTTTTAAATTGATCGTATAATGGTTGTCAGAAATTTAGATATTTCCCCCAACTCTCAAGAATCCCTTGAATGATAAGAAGTTGTGGGAACATTTCCTCCTGGACACCTCATGTTATCTCTCAAATCTTCTTAGTAGCTGTTTTATCTCAGCCTGGGATTCATGTTTGATTTCTTTTATCCTTCTGTCCAAATCCAGTGAAATCTAAACTTTCAACTGTTTTTAACTTTCTAACACTTGATTACGTATTTTGTCTGGAGCATTTTAATGGTTTCTGACCTGAGTTTCTTCTTCTGAGGCTTCCTACATCTATTTTGGTTAAATTCACCAGGTTGTTTTCTGAAAAATAATTCTGAATAAGGCATTCCGTCCCTTAAAATTATTTGGAGACTTTCAGAACTTAGCAGTATTTCACAATCTGATTCCCCCCTCTACTGGTGTTACGTGGAACAGTTTTAATGTGGTAATTCGGTAGGTTTGATGATTTTAAAAACAGCTTTTTATGCAGCTTATTCAATAGCTGCATAAACAGAGAAGCTCTTATTGACAGGTTAATTTCTCCGATGCCTGTTGTAGCTGAGATGGGTCAGGTCAAAGCTAAGAGCCAGGAACTAAATCTGGGTTTCTCACTTGGGTGGCAAGGCCTCAGCTAGCTGAGTCATCGCCGGAATTAGCAACAGAGGCAGGACTCCAGCCCAAGCAGGGAGAGGCTTTTCTAAATGACGTGTTAACCACTCTGCCAAATAGCCACCCCATGAAACTTAATTTTAAATTATGTTAAGCTAGAAGGTCTGTAAGATAACAGGTTGTATTTTTTTTTTGCTAGATTATATGTATTAGTTGCGTATTTGATTTTTTATTTTTTTTTATTGTAAAGGAAGCCATTTCAGTTAAGAACGTCGTTTACTGCTGGAGTATCATGAATAGATCTTTTTTGTTTGTTTGTTTGAAAGGCATAGTTACAGGGAGAGAGTGAGGAAGAGACAGAGAGCTTCCATCTACTGATTTGCCCTCTAAATGAAATGGCCACAGTGGCAAGAGGTGGGCTGATGGGAAGCCAGGCGCTAAAAGCTTCTTCCAGGTCTCCGATGTAGGTGGCAGTGGCTCAGGCAGTTGAACCATCTTCTGTTTTCCCATGTCCATTATCAGGTCGCTGGATCAGAAGTGGAGTCCGAACTTGAACTGTTGCACTCATAGGATGCCAGAACTGTAGGCAACAGCTTTACTTGTCATGCCAGTGGCAGCATAAGACTCAGTACTATTTTTTTTTTTAAGGTTTTACAGTTCTTTGATGTAAATCATTAGCAGACTTACATTGATTATTGGTTCATTGCTTTTGTCCCAATCTTCTTGCATGTGATATAGACTGTTTAAGATTGAAATAATATTATAATTTACAGGTACTATTTTTCAGATTGACATCATTTCATCTTAAGTAAGGCAAACATGTGGTATCTAACCTTTTGGGATTGGTTCACTTCCCTTAGCATAATGGATTCCAGATGGGCCCATTTGGCCACAAAGAACTGCATTTCAGTTTTTTTTAATAGCTGAGTAGTATTCCATGGAGTAGATGAACCATAGCTTTTTTATCCAGTCTTCTGTTGATGGGCACTTTGGTTGCTTCCAGGTTTTTGCAATTTTTGTTTGTGCTGCTATGAACATAGGGGTGCATGTTGGTGTCTGGTGTAACAAGTGTTTTGGATATATTCCTAGAAGTGCTATTGCTGGATCGTATGGTATGCAGATTTTCAGTTGTTTGAGTGTTCTCCATACTGATCTCCATAGTGGCTGTACCAACCTGCAGTCCCACCAGCAGTGGAGTAGGGGTCCCTTTTCCCCACATCCTCGTCAGCAAGTGTTGTTGGTGTTTTTTGTATGTGAGCCATTCTTTCTGGCATTAGGTGGTACCTCATTGATGTCTTAATTTGGATTTCCTTATTGCTAGGGAACTTGAGCATTTTTTCATATGTTTGTTTGCCATTTGGGTTTGTTCCTTGGTGAAGTGTCTGCCCATTTCCCATGCCCATTTCTTGAGTGGTTTGTTTGTTTTGGTGTTTTGGTTTTTCTGGAGATCTTTGTACATTCTGGAGATTAACCCCCTATCACCTATGTAGTGTGCAAAGATCTTCTCCCATTCTGTGGGTTGCTTTTTTATTTTGTTGGTTGGTTGTTTCCTTTGCTATACGGAAGCTTCTTAGTTTGGTGTTGTCTCATTTGTTTATTTTGGTCTTGATTGCTATTGTTTTTGGTGTTTTTTTTTTTAGAAAGTTAGGGCCTACTCCTAAATCTTGCAGGGTATTTCTCACATTTTTTTCCAAAAGTTTGAAGGCTTCTGGGTGTAGGTTTAGGTCTTTTATTCATTTAGATTTTATCTTAGTGTATGATAAAAGATATGAGTTTATCTTCTTGTTTCTGCAGACTATCAACCAGTTGTCCCAACAGCATTTATTGAAGAGACCTTCCTATTTGCCTGGATTGTCGTCTGTCTTTTTGTCAAAGGTTATTTGACTGTATCTGCATGGGTTCCCTTCTGTTGCTTCTATTCTGCTCCATTGATCCTCCTCTCTATCTTTGTGCCAGTACCAGGCTGTTTTGATAACCACCACCCTATAGTATGTCCAGAGGTCCAGAATTGTGATTCCCTCTGTTAACTTCCTGTTCTTCAGGATGGTTCTAGCTATTCATGGTTTTTTGTGTTTCCAGATGAATCTTTGTATCATTTTTTCCGGTTCTATGAAAAATGTTTTGGGTAATTTGATTGGGATTGCGTTGAATGTATATACAGCTTTTGGCAGAATGAACATTTTAATTATACTGATTTTACTTATCCAGGAGCATGGAATGTTTCTCCATCTTTTGAGATCTTCCTCAATTTATTTAAGTTTTTTGTAGTTTTCTTCAACGAGGTCTCCTACATTTTTGGTTAGGTTTACTCCTAGATACTTCATATTCTTCTCTGTTGTTTTCAATGGTACCCTGCTGGTTAGATCTTTTTCCATCTTGGGGCTGTTTGCATACACTATGGCTGTTGATTTTTGTTCATTTATTTTGTACCCTGCCACTCTACCAAACTCTTGTATAGGTTTTAGCACTCTCTGTATTGAAGACTCATTACTTGTTATTGTTTAATGTTACATTATTTTTGAACTGTTTTAATGTCTAGTACTGATAAAAATTGCTCAACTATTAGTGATTAGAAACATGGTTAAATTACCCCAATGTAGATATGAAATTGAAACTTATTTCTAGTTTCTGAATTTGTATATTTATCACAAAGTAATGGATGATTCATATTCTGCCCTCTGATTTCAGATTTATGTTTTGGTAATTTAGTTGGCCATAAGTGATACAATATATGTTGGATATAATTATCCAAAGAGATGTCTTATAAGCAGCTGAGTGAAATGCTGTGATGTCATTGTCATAGTTACAGAATGTCAGTTTCTGATTTTGATTATTGTCTGGGCATAAAATATTTTCTAGCTGTATTAAAGGAAGTACAATTATTTCCAATAGAATGAATGGCAGATGTGGAGCTATTCTTGCTGATGAAATGGGTTTGGGGAAAACACTGCAATGCATTTCTCTCATCTGGACCCTTCAGTGTCAGGGGCCCTATGGAGGCAAGCCAGTCATAAAGAAGACACTAATTGTCACACCTGGAAGCCTAGTAAATAACTGGAAAAAAGAATTTCAAAAATGGCTGGGAAGTGAAAGGATCAAAATATTTGCTGTTGATCAGGTAAGAGACTTAAGAGCTTAACCTTAATCATGTTTGTTTTTGAACAGTGCTGGCACTTATTGGTATTTATAGTTGAGATTGAGGGAATAGGTCATAGGGCTCAGTGATCATAAGAATTGTGTGGGATTGGGGCCTGACACAGTAGCCTCATGGCTAAAGTCCTCACCTTGCATGCACCGGGATCCCATGTGGATGCTTGTTCTTATCCTGGCGGCCCTGCTTCCCATCCAGCTCCCTGCTTGTGGCCTGGGAAAGCAGTGAGGAGGGCTCAAGGCCTTGGGACCCTGCACCCATGAGGAAGACCTGGAAGAGGCTCTGGGCTCCTGACTTTGGATAGGCACAGCACCGGCCGTTGCAGTTGCTTGGGGAGAGAATCAGTGGATGAAAGATTTTCCTCTCTGTCTCTTCTCTGTATACCTGACCTTCCGATTTAGAAAAATAAATTATTTTTTAAAAAAGTGCATGGAATTATTAAACCATGTTGTGGCTATGACTATATCAAAATGAAACTAAAATGGACAACTTTTAAAAGCCAAAATTCATATCAGACAATCAAAAGACACTGTCAGCTAGATTCGGAACAAGTAGCTGGTATTAACTCTCCAAGAAAATGAACTTTTGAAAGGATTCTAGTAAAAGTCAATTAGCTGTTTCTGTCAGGCTTCAAGTGAACAAAATAATATGGAAACTTCTGGAGGCTAATGGAACTCAGAGTAATCCTATTGTTATTAATACTTTTCAGAAAAAATTAATTCGTCTTCGAAACTTTAGTTCAACATTAAACAACTTTGATGAAAACCATTAACATGTTTGATAGACAAGGTTGGTGTCAGCAGTGACAGAAAGGTTGCTCTTCTCAAGTAGAGCTTAGTTGTGTTTTAAACCTTTAGCTTTTAAAATCAGCAATTCAGTTCCTTTTTTATTTTTAAAAGGATTTATTTATTTGAAAGGCAGAGCAATAGACAGATAGGGAGAGACAGAAAAAGAGATCTTCCTTGTGCTGATCCAATCCCTCAATAGCTGTAAAGGCTGGGACGGGGCCAGGCCAAAAGCAGGAACAGGAGCTCCCTGTGGGCCTCCTCTGTGCGTGCAGGGATTCAGACACTGCAACATCAGCTGCTGCTTTCCAAGCTTCGTAAGCAGGATGTTGGGTTGGAAATACAAGAGACTTGGCTTGAGCCAGCCTTCTGATTGGGATGCCCGGCATTGTAAGTGGCACCTTAGCTTGTATTAGAGTCTGCTTTTTAAAATTAATTGATTAATTTTTATTTGAAAGGCAGATTTACAGAGAGGAAAGGGAGATTTCATTCACCAGTTCACTCCTCAAATGGCTACACTAGCTGGAGCTGAGCCAGTCTGAGCCAGGAGGCAGGTGCTTCATGTTCGTCTCCCCAGTGTATCCAGGATCCCAAAGCACTTGAGCCAGCCTCCGCTGCTTCCTCAGTCCGTAAGCACAGAGCTGTATGGGAAGTGAGATAGCCAGGGCACAAACCAGTGTCCATATGGGGTACCAGTGCTGCAAGCAAAAAACTGGCATGTTGAGCCACTGTATTGACCCCCTAAATTTTACTGTTTGTGGATTTCACAGTGTAGGCAATTCCCAGCTCCTTTGCAAAAATTGGGGTCTTGGCTTACATGTTAATTTTGAGTTATGATAGGCCAAATATTTTTGTTTCCCCAGAATTTATATTAAAGCCCTAATTCTCATATAATGGTATTGAAAAGTGGGGATTTGAGAAAGTAAGTAGATTTATGTTAGATCATGAGGATGGAGCCCAGTGATGTGGTTGGGGCTGTTATAAGAAGAGAGAGAGATACCAGGGTCTGCTATTTTCCTCCACATGGGAATATAGCACGGTGCTTCCCTGTGCAAACCTGGACGAGATTCTCTCCAGAACCTGGCAGTGCTGGCATCCTGATCTTAGACCACGGTGATAACTCTCCTACAGCAATCTGAGCTAAAGCAGAGTTAACATGTTCTAATTTGTTAAGTGATTGTCAGGAATATGCTGTGTTCGTTTGATTTCATTTAGTTTCTGCTCTTGTTTAGTTAAATACCTTTTCTTTTCAGGACCACAAGGTTGAAGAATTTACCAGATATCTGGTTTATTCTGTCCTTATAATTAGTTATGAAATGTTACTTCGTTCTCTGGATCAAATTAAGAATATAAAATTTGATCTTCTAATCTGTGATGAGGGACACCGTTTGAAGAATAGTGCCATTAAGACGACTGCAGCCCTCCTTAGCCTGTCTTGTGAGAAAAGAATAATCTTAACCGGTCAGTATTCACTTTGTGGAAGAAAAGATTGAACTTTTTCATTACAAACAAATTAGACTTACGATTATTAACCTTCAAATACTGGGCTGCAAGGAAATAAAGCCTGAGCCAATTGACTGAGTCTGGGTGGGGCTTTGAATATTTAGATTTCTGTGTGGTTTTCTGCCACATAGGTTTTGGAGGAATATGAACACAATGGTGTTATGGTGCAGAACATAGGAGATGAGACCAGGAGTTAGAATTAGACTCCACCTGCATTATTGCCAATTGTGGTTACACTTTTGCAACTTTGCATAAGTTGGTTAGCTTCTTTGTGCAAAGGGCTTAATCCATGTGAAGTTCCTGGAAGACTGTCTGACTGTCTGGTGTTTAATGTCACTGTCAGTTATTTTTATGTGTATATGTTACATGGGATAAACCATTTGTAATTGTAAGAATAATTCTCTGTTCATTCCATTTTGTTTATATTCTGGGCTAGAGTTGTGTGTGAGTAGCTCAGTGTAGCTTCCTTCTGCACTTCACTTTGCTCTTTCTGACCTCTGCTGTTTGGCCATTCTGGCAGCAACAGAAGGAAGACAGTGGTAATGAGAGTTCTACTCAAAGCTCCTGTTTTCATGTCATCTGCAAGTGTTCCAGAAGGAAAGGGAAGGAAAGATTTTTCTTGCAGTAGCTTGATCTCTTCAGTCATTTTGTCTTCCATATATCATTTACACATGGCAGAGTTCTGTTTGAACTTAAAATTTGTTTCTCTTTTCTACATTGTTAAGGTAGATGGAAGTATGCCCCCGCCCCTCTTTGTTGTCATTGAGCTGGGCTAGGAAGGGTATCGTTGTTAAATAATTCATAATCTGGCATGGCCATTTAGCCTGGTGGTTAAGAGGCCTGCATTTTGTGTTGGAACCCTTGGGTTGGTTGACTTGCTCTGGCTCATGACTGTGACTTGGGAAGCAGCAGTGATTACTCAAGCAGTTGGGTTCCTGCCACCAGAGTGAGAGACCAGGATTAAGTTCCTTGTCCCTGGTTTTGGCTCCAGCTTAGCATTGTTATGGCGACACCTGGGGGAGCTAATCACCACAGGGAGTCTGTTGCTATTGCTCTCAGATCTCTCAAATACTCTCAATTTGTGTGTGATTAAAATGACAGTTTCTAAATTGATTTTTTGCTTAAATTTTTCTTTTTCTTTTATTAGTGATACTGTTTCACATAGTGGGTGAGACCCTTTTTTACACATTTTTCTCTTCTTCCTATATGGGGGGAAAGGGGATACAAGAGGAATAACCATGCCCAGCTTCCCAACCACTGCATAACCACAGGGATTGGGGAACTGTCACTCAATGTTATCCAAGTTCCCCATTGTGGAGTATTTTCTGGGGGTTTCTGTTCATGTGTTTTCGATAGTTCTGAGATGCTGCTGATATCACCATTCCACGGATGAGGAAATCTTTCTGAGGTTGATTGGCTGTCGTAGTCTGCCTCTGAGTCTCCATTGGCTAAATTTTTCTTTTTCATGATGCAGTTCTATAGGCTCAGGGATTTCTCCTTCTGCCTGCCCCATATTCCCTCCCCAACTGTAGTGTAGTCCTTCAGCAACATCACAAGTTCATCATTGTGCTATTTCAGCATATCATAACAATGACAGAAGTCCAGCATCCTGTTGTCAAGATATATTCAACAGTTTCATTGGAAGTCCTTTTATTTGGGAGTAGAGATGTCATATTGCAATGTATCTTCATTTCTCGGTATGGTAGTCTCCATTATATGGTTCCTCTAGATGAATATATATTTATATTCACACATACACGTAAATATGTATTTACCTGTGTATCTATTGACCTTGTGATTTGCATGAAGGTTGCCTAATACCAGAGAGAACATATGATATCTATCCTTTTGGGAGTGACTTATTTCACTGAGCATAATGATCTCTAGTTGGGAATATTTTGTTGTAAATGGTAGAATTTCATTCTTTTTAATGGCTGAGTAGTATTTCACAGACCAGCACAGTTCCATAGAGTAGTACCATAGTTCCTTTAACTCATTCTTTTTTGCACAGGCATCTGGGTTATTTACATTTTTTTGTTACTGTAGGTTATATTGCTTTGAATATAGGATTACAGATTACTGTAACTTGAATTGACTTTAAGAAATATTTATTTGAAAATCAGAGTTAAAGTTACTTAATAGTGATGAGTGAGATGCTTTTCTTTGAGTGATTACCACTGTTCCCTATAGCCTTATTTGTTATTCTTAGCTTGTTTCTGCTTTCATATCATTGTCGGTGTTACTCACTGAACTATGAATTTAGGTGAAAACTAGCACTAAGTTTCATGTAGAGGTATTAGTGATTGGTTTCTATCTCTTGAGAATTGTCTGAATGAATTATTTAATTTTTTAGTGGCAAGCTTTGTTCCTTACTTATTATCAAATTCGCCATTGTATGTGAGTACATATGCAGTACTGTGTTTATTATGGATACTCAATGACTATATAATTATCAAATGAAATGTTGAGCCATCCTATACTGCCTTACCAGACCATCAATGAGGAGCTGGATGATAAATGAAGCAGCTGAGACTCAACTGATGCCCATATACAATGCCAGTGCTGCAGGCAGAGAATTTAGCCAGCTGTGCCAACTTGCTGGTCACTGTTAATTTTTTAAAAACTTAATGTGGATGTTCCTTCATAGTTTATGGAATGTGCTTTTATTTATTCCTCTGAGAGAAGAGAGTGCAAATTTTAATAAACATCTATGATTGTAAAATATAAATTTTACCTTTTCATCACTTTTATCTGTAGGTACTCCAGTTCAGAATGATCTACAGGAATTTTTTGCTCTGATTGATTTTGTAAATCCAGGAATATTAGGCTCTCTGTCATCTTACAGGAAAATATATGAAGAACCCATCATTTTATCAAGAGAACCATCTGCTACTGAGGTATATTTACTTCAATGAACAAAAATTTTTTTCTTTTGTCTTTTTGGTATTAATGAATACACATTAATGACACGTTTCATGAATGCCAGGAATATTGTTCCAACAAGAAGCACACTTACGTTGCCTCTCCACCCTTTATACTTAATATAGTGAGCTCTCTTTTTACAACAGTCCTTCATCTTTTGCTGCATTAAGAAAATGTTATCCTCCTCTGTCTAAAATTAATAAACACATCACAAAAATTGTAAATAACAATAAATGTTCATTCTTATGTATATTCAAAGCAGGAAACCAAAATAGCCATGCAGTAACTTTTGTATTTTCTTTTGGTGTTTTGGTTGGTTGAATTGGCACAGTAATAGCAGGCATGTGAATATTATCTCATGTATGTTCTGATGTGTTTTGGTACAAAGGAAAGTCTGAGAGAGATCTTTGATTTACTGGTTCATTCCCCAAATGTCCACAACAGCCGGGCTGGACGAGGCCAAAGCCAAGAATGTGGAACTCAGTTTGAGTCTGTGGGTGAGAGGGACTCTAGCCCTGGAGCTGTCATCTGCTGTGCTGCTTGGCCAGATCCAAATTAGAATCACTGAGACCCACACTAATCTTTCTGATGTGGGGGTGCAAGTGTCCAAAGTGTGACCTAGCTGCTTCAGTATGTGGCTGCTCTTATTATTATTTCATGGATAACTGTTTTGAAAGAATCAGTAGTATATAGTGCTAGTAATTTCTTCTAGGCTTAATTTTAGGGTCAATAACTTGTCAAAACATTTGCTTCAAAAAGTTTGCTTGATGGTTTTTAACTCATGATTTTAACACTGTGTATTATTACAATAGTCACATACTTTTACTTTTAGAATAATGTGATTGGCACACTAGTGATTTCTGATATTTGTCCATGGTGCCAGCAGTTAAACAAGGAAAAGTCATGACACTGTAGCTTCCTACAATTAAATATTCTTTCTCTACTTAAAATGAACATTTTAGAAATCATGATTTTTTGCCATGCCCATACCTGTATTTCATACCTCCTATTAAAAATAAATCTAGTGACAAGCAATTAACAATAGGTTTCACATTATACAATCCTTAATGTTTCTATTCATTGTAGCTATTTTTGTTTGTAGTGCTTTTATTCAAGTCTGTTATTTTTCTGTAGGAAGAAAAGGAGTTAGGAGAAAGAAGAGCAGCTGAACTTACTTGCCTCACTGGACTCTTTGTTCTTAGAAGAACTCAGGAAATTATAAATAAATATCTTCCACCTAAAATAGAGAATGTAGTCTTTTGTCGACCAGGAGCACTGCAAGTTGAGCTTTATCGGAAGCTGTTGAATTCTCAGGCTGTCAGGTTCTGTCTTCAAGGATTGTCGGAGAATAGTCCTCATCTGTTGTGTATAGGAGCGCTTAAAAAGCTGTGCAATCACCCTTCACTTTTGTTCAACTCTGCAAAGGTGAGTAAGCATATGAAACTGCATCCAGGATATGAGATGATGGTTCTGTGGTTTGTGAATCTAAAAGGGAAGATGGTGCTGATCTGATATTGCGTTTTGGGCTTTGTAAAGCTCTGTGGCCCCTCACGTATGGCTCTACTGTCAGCCTGCTGAAGCCTCCTGGTCTGCCAGCCACAGTCATAGAACTGAACTGGGATGAGCCAGGCTGAAGACACCACCTTCCAGGTTTGTGCTCTATGCCCTTTTATGCTTTGATTTGGTTTCCGTTTCTGTTTGCATGTTAATAGAGTCCTTGAGTTTTGTTTATTTAGTTCTAAGAAATAACAAAATTTTTCATTAACATTTCATTGTTTTCTTCTCATCAAAGTGATGTTTCGTTGTTACATGGAATTCCAAAGACTCCAGACCTTTCAAAGAGGAAAATACAAATTATCTTAATAATCACATACCAAAAACTATGTGCTTTTTAGTGTTACTTTATTCTTTCTAAAACTCTAAAGAATAGGTACTATTATTACCATGGTTCAGTGTGATCTTTTTAAAAAAATTTATTTTTGATAATGTTTACATAGTTGAGAAGGATGAATACCCATTTGGACCACTGATTAGGGTGGGAAGGGTTGAGCAAGAGGGGAAGATGGGTGAGACCATCATTTCCAATATTTCGTTTTCATATTCCTGTATCTGGGGGGAATGGGAGAAGCTGCACCCAGCGTTGTAACTGCATTAGTACCCGAGGATGGGGACAGCCACTAGATGTCATCCCAGGATCCCCCAGGTGGAGCAGGCTCTGAGGATTCTGCTCAAGTGGTTTCAGTAGTTCTGAAATGCTGTTGATTTAGTTCCTGCAAGGATGAGGAAGTCCTTTTAAGGTCCATTGCCTGACATACATTGTCCAGATCCTTGCTGTCATTGCTTAGCTGGGAGAGTTGTCTAATTTGTTCTGCCCTGCATGGTACCAGACGTCTTGTGCAGGCCTCAATGAAATGGTTGCCATGTCCGCCTTGTGAGTTTGGGCATGCTATTCACTGTTCCGTCTTCAGCAACTGAGAAGGTCCATTCTGATACTTGCAATTCATGGTCAGATCACAGATCTGTGATCCTCCCCATAGTTGGTGTTCTGATTTTAGTGGTTTAGTTGAAGGGGTCCCCAAAGAAGCCTCATCTGAGGTGACCCCAGATCTGACTCTTCTGTGTGCAAGCCAGTAAGGGGTCTGGCTCAGGCAATTACCCACATCAGCCCCTCCACCACACACACATGTGGTTACAGTTGTTGGGTTAGTTCTGTCTCTAGCCCCATCTCTTTTTAAAAAAGAAAAAAAATTGTGAGCCCCTAAATTTCTTCTTTTATTTCCCTCTTAGAATTACCATCTTTTCTGTTGTTAAGATTTATTTTCTGTCTGGAAAAGGTATAGAGACACATGCAGAGAGATAGAAATAGAGAGAGAGAGACAGAAATCTTCCATCTGCTGCTTCACTCCCCAGATTGCCACAGAGGCTAGAGCTGACTGGTCCAAAGCTGGCTGTGTGGTCTCTGATGACCTCTTCAAGTTTAGGCATTTTGGCAGAAAAATCTAGAAGCAGTCAGCAACCATCTGTCTCCCCTATGTGTTCCAGTCATTTAAATATCTTAAGATTCCACCTGTTTTTAACAAAAAAAATGTTTTTGTTTTTTTTTTTAAATTTGAAAGGCAGAATTATAGTGAGGAGAAGAGAAGGCGATATCTACCTACTGTCTTACTCCCGGGATGGCCTCAGTGGTCAGAGCTGAGCCATTCCCTATCCAGGAACTTCTTCTGACTCTCCCATGTGGGTATAGGACTCAGGCAGTTGGCTATCCTCCACTGCTTTCTCAGGCCATTAGAAGGGAGCTGGATTGGAAGTGGAACAGGTAGGATATGAACTGGTGCCCATATGGGATGCCAGTGCTGCAGGCAGAGGATTAGGCTACTACTACTACAGGACATTGACTGATTCTAGGTATTTTTTTAAAAGTATATTTATTTATGTATTTGAAGGGCAGAAGTAGAAAGGTAGAGAGATACCTTCCATGCACCTGATTACTTCGCAAATGATCACAGTGGCTGGTGCTGGGCAAGGGCAGAGCCAGGAACTGTATCTGGGTCTCCCACATAGGTGGTAGGGGACCAGGCACAGGTGAATTAGCAAGGAGTTGGATTAGAAGTGAAGCAGTCAGGTCTTGAACCTGCATTCAAATGGGATTCCAGCATTTCATGTGGCAGCTTAACATGCTCTGCCACAACACTGTCTCTGGCTTCCAAGTGACAATCCAGCAACTTTATCTAAATATCGTTGTATTTGGCAGTAAGCCAAATTAAAATTAGTTCTCTATATCTAGTATCTTGTATCATGGGCTTCACTATCTTAAAGTGTGTCATGTATTATTATAAAAAAAGTACTACACACCTGAAAAATTACAGAAGTATACTTAAGTCCATATTTAACTGATCAATTAAATAAGGTTAAAGGTAGGTGAAGACTCAGTGGAAACTGTTGATCTTTATGTATTGATAGGATTGGGATAATTTGGCAGAAACATGAGAAGGCATTTCCAATGGGGATTGTAGGCAGAACAGTTTCAAAAATAAATCTGGTACATATGGGAAAGAGTGAGAAACCTGCCAGTCTTAAAAATTTGGCCCGAAAAACCATCGACATTTACATCTGTGATCTTCATTTATGTGTCTTTCCATCAGCAAGACAGCTTTGGAGGGTGCTTTTCAGAGGTCTGATAATCACTTTGGAATAAAATCATCCTGAAAAATACTAGTAACAAACAGAAGTAAGAATAGATTTCTGTTACTTTAGTACTGAAGTTTCCTTCTTACAGAGGAAAGCACTAAGACCATTACACTTGTTTTTGAGCATCACCTGGAAGATGCTGTGTGAAACCCCCCAATCAAGAGAGTGAAGAAGAGAAGAGGTGCCCATGATGGCTGAGTTAGGGCTTTGGACAGGACTGAATTTGTATTGCTACTTGCCCTGTATTTTGTCTTGTTTTTCTCAACCTATAGTGTGTTCCTCCCTACTGCCGTCCCGTCAAGTTACGCGTGAGAACTAGCACTGGCATTGCGAGCTTGCATTAAAACTGCTTTGTTATGATGCAGTGGGATACGTGTTACCTTTCTTTTCCTAAAAATTACCACATCATAGCCTGTAATGATTAGCCTAACAGCTTGGACTTCTAGCGTTTTTTTCCACTGTAAGTTAAAAAAATGATAATAAACATGAGCAAACGCTAACAATCATTATTTTGAATAGGAAAAAGAATATAGCTCATCTTGCAATGAAAATGAAGAGAGAAGTTTGTACAGAGGCTTGCTAACTGTGTTCCCTGCTGATTATAACCCTCTGTCGTTTGCTGAGGAGGAGTCGGGAAAGCTGCAGGTGCTGTGCAAGCTCTTAGCAGTTATCCATGAACTTCGGCCCACTGAGAAGTAAGACATTGACTTAACTGCTTATAAATACCCATAGTATTTTAGCCTGCACTGTTTCCTTATTTCCTGCCTCTCCCTTTTAGGTTAGAAAACATGAGAAATAAGTTATTTTTTTTCTTTTTAAAATTTATTTATTTTTTACATTTTATTATTATTGCTGTCATTTTATGATACAGTTCCATATTCCTTTATCCCCTCCCCAATTCCCTGCCCCCCCACCTAGATTTTCTATATCATTACTAACATATAGTTCTTTATACTGTCATATGTGCATCATTGCGGGCATGGACAATGGCAGAGTCCTGAATCCTATTGTCAAGATATAGTAAATGGTTTCATTGTAAGTCCATCTTTGTCTGGAAACAGAAATGCATACCACACTGTATCCTCACATCTGGATGTTAGTCTCCATTTCACAGCAACTGTACATCCCCTCAAATGAAAAGTCATGATATAAAATCAACAATAGAAAGAAAAATAGAAATTTACAATGCCACGAAGTTAAATGACATGTTACTAGATATGACAAAATGATTAATGTGTAGCTGAAGAAATCTTAGGGGTATGGTTGTATATCCCATTTTATAAACTTATTAACAATATGTCAAATTTTATTTATGAAAAACTGAGCAATATACATATATATTTTTAAAAAGATCCTTGATAGTAGCTTTTTGAGATTTTGGTTTCCATATGCCAAAGCATTCCCCTAGCAGTGCACGGGACTGGATAGGGCAAAGGCAGATAAGGGGGTAGATGTGGGACAGTGGGTTTGAGATACCTGCATTCCTTATCTGAGTATCTGGGATCGAGTTCCACCTCTGCGATCTGATCTAGGTTCCTGCTGATGTTTCTGGGAGATAGTAAATCATGGCTCAGGTGTTTGAGTCCCTGCCACACACGGGGGAGAGAGACCTAGATGGAATTCCTGGATTTTGGGTTCAACCCAGCCCAGCCCAGCCAGAGCTCTTGTGCCATTTCAGGAGTGAGCCAGTGGCTGGGAGGAAGGAAGATCTGTCTGTTTCCCTGCCTCACTTCTTCCTCACTTAAACTCTCATTTCTTTCTTCCTCTATAAACATTACAAAACAATAATAATAAAATGAGCTGCTGCCTGAAATCTGGCTTTTTCTTGATTGGGCATTTTCATGGTTTCAGTAGATCTGTAACTGGTTCCAGAGAACCTGTAGCATTTTTATATTTACTGATTATGTGGGACAAAAGAACGTGAGCTCTCTTTTCCATCATTTTACTGACATCATGTGTCTAGTCTGTTTTTGATAATATGTGATGACTCCTTGTAACTAAAGAGGGTTTACCATTCTCACTCCTGTCACTATCATGCTTCCAGGATAGTTACATCACAACTTCTGCTTCAACACCCATTTAATACTTTCATTATTATGACTCAGTTGTTTGTGATTGAGCCTGTTCACTGTGATTACATTTCCTTTCTTGAATACTCCCTTCTGCCAATCACAGCTAACCGAATTTTTATCCTTTCTTACATTGTCTTTTTTCTTTTTAAAAATGGTTCCAAAAGTCTTCCTGTGACCTTCAGTAAGTTTTCAACACAATTTTCATACTAGTCTCTCAGATTCCTTTGCATTGTGTTTGTCATCTCTGCTACAATTTGAACTGACTGTTCTCTAATCTTGAAACATCGTTGCCTTGTTGAATCCTGATCACTGGCAATTCTCTTTCTTTTCATTTATGTCGAATCTCTTATTTCCTGGTTTCCCATTTGCTATAGCACATCCTACAGCACTTTTCTAAGAAGGGAGAAGGTGGGACATAAGGCTTTTTGAATTCTTAAGTGTCTTTATTCTGTTCCAGCACTTTGACTTTGAGTTGTGAGGGCAGTGTTTTACCTGTGCTGTAAGAAAAATGGGGATCTGCTACATTGAACAATGTCTGACTACAGAAAAAGGTTCTAGTAATTGGTAATATCCCAGACCACAGACAATTGAAAATCCACTCCTACCTCACCCACAGGTTATGTGGATGGCCAGAGAGAAGGAAGTGTGACACACAGAAGTCACCTGATTGGCTGAATGTAGTATTTGCCATATAAGGTTCTGTGTTTTGGGCAGCTTTTAGTCTCTGGCAGGAGATTGAGCTACTGTGATCAGCTAAGACACAGTGGCTTTCTTACAAGGGTGTATTCTTTAAAGATTTATTTTTATTATTTTTTATTGGAAAGGCGGATATACAGAGAGGAGATACAGAGAGGAAGATCTTCCATCCGATGATTCACTCCCCAAGTGAGCCGCAACGGGTCGATACTATGCCGATCCGAAGCCAGGAGCCTCTTCCGGGTCTCCCACGCGGGTGCAGGGTCCCAAAGCTTTGGGCCGTCCTCAACTGCTTTCCCAGGCCACAGGCAGGGAGCTGGAAGGGAAGCGGGGCTGCCGGGATTAGAACCGGCGCCCATATGGGATCCCGGGCGTGCAAGGCGAGGACTTAACCACTTGCGCCACCGCGCCGGGCCACAAGGGTGTATTCTTAGGCTAGGGTAGGTTTGTATACACATCAGATAGGTGGTGCTTTATTACGAACAGGGGTTACTTTACTTTGCACAAACTGTTCTGAAATGGAGGCTTTTTAGGCCAAATTTGTTTTGGTTAAATGCATGTCTTCTAGCTTTTAAAATTGCTTTAGAGGGCCCTAGTGGCTAAAGTCCTTGCCTTGCATGCACTGGGATCCCATATAGGTGCCTGTTCGTGTCCCAGCTGTTCCACTTCCTATACAGCTCCGTGCCTGTGGCCTGGGAAAGCAGTAGAGAACAGCCCAAAGCCTTGAGACCCTGTATCCACATGGGAGATCTGGAAGAAACTCCTGGCTCCTGACTTCGGATCGGTGCAGCTCTGGCCATTGCAGCCACTTGAGGAGTGAATTAGCAGATGGAAGAATGTTGCTCTTTGTCTTGTCTTCTCTCTGTATATCTACCTTTCAAATAAAAATACATCTTTTTAAATGTTGCTTTAAAGTATGATGCTTTTTAGATTTCTGTTCCTTTGCACATAATTTACCTCCCCCTGCCATGAATGCTTTAGCATTGTTTCTTCATTCGTCATATCATGAATTGCAATTATCAGTGTGCCATCATGAGTCTTTACTTTATTCATTGTAGATGTTTTGACTTCTATATCCCATGTCTGGAAAATATTCCTTCTCAGTCTTAAAATGGTTTCCCACTTTTTTTTTCTTTGCATTTTTATCATTCAGACACTAAACCTTAAGAATTGATTCTGCAATCCTCTTTTCTGTCTTGTTAGTCATTACTTTTTCTTTGTAATGTGTTTCTTGGAAGCTTGCTTGTTAATGTCCTTCAGCTCTCCTGTTAAGGCTTAATTCGACCACTGTCATACATTTCTGAAATACTTCTTTGTTCTTGATTGACCCTTTTTAAAATTACATCCTCTTCCTGTGAATGTGATCTCTGGAGTTGTGGGTTTTTTCTCTTAAAGTTTTCTTCTGTTCCTTCCAGTGTTCTGTATGATTCAGATTCCATTTTTCTTGTTTGTTTTGGTTTGTCTCATTCATTTTGGAGGTTCCTCCCAACCAACTGGTGGTTCTAGTGTTTGTATTTAAGAGTGAGGCAGAAAGCCAAGGTCGATGCTCTGTATGGAGAGGCATTATCCTGTTTGTTTTAAGATGATGACTTCAGAGATGAAAAAGAAGGGTCTTTACTCCACCATCTTTGAAGTGGAAGCTGAGATACTGACTTTAAAATAAATGTAAACACGTGCCTATGTTTTAATTGTATAGGGACATTGCTGCAAGTCAAGTAACTATCAGTGATAATATTATAATGTTTTTCATCTAAAAATTTTGAATATTTTCTTTATATTGCATGTAATGAATCTTTTCAATTGACAGGGTGGTGTTGGTATCCAACTATACTCAGACCTTGGATATTTTACAAGAAGTATGCAAGCGTCATGGATATGCTCACACAAGACTTGATGGACAGACGCCCATCTCTCAAAGGCAGCATATTGTTGATGGCTTCAATAGTAAATACTCTTCTGATTTTATTTTTTTGTTAAGTTCGAAAGCTGGTGGTGTGGGACTAAACCTCATTGGTGGATCTCACTTAATTCTCTATGACATTGATTGGAATCCAGCCACTGATATCCAGGTAAAAATATTTGTGCACAAAATAGACATTATTGAATGACTGGAAATAAGGTGTTTTCGGGAGATATTCTGATGAAGTGTGATACCTGAGTGCAAGGAGCCATATTCTTTTTTCTTTTTTTCTTAAAGATCTATTTATTTTTATTAGATAAGGCAGATCTGCAGAGAGAAGGAGAGACAGAGAGATCTTCCATCTACTGGTTCACTCCCCCAGTGGCTGCAATGGCTGGAGCTGAGCTGATCTTAAGTCAGGAGCCAGGAGCTTCTTTTGGGTCTCCCCTGTAGGTACAGAGTCCCAAGGCCTAGGGTCATCCCCCTACTTCCTTCCCAGGGCATCATTAGGGAACTGGAAGGGAAGTCGGGCAGCTAGGATGCAAAGTGGTACCCACATGGGATCTGGTGCATTCAAGGCGTGGACTTTAGCCACTAGGGTACTGCTCTGGGCCTGGAGCCATTTTCTATAAGGCACTCTGCCAACTACTTCCCATCTTTAACTCTTCACACCTACCCTCTAGGATGATGTTGGTAGCCCATTCTACAGATGAAGAAATGGGCGATTGTACTGAGATTGCGGTTTGTAAGAGACAGAATCAGGATTCACACCCAAACCTGTGTGTCTGAAGGTTCTTGTTCATTCCACAGTTGGCCCTTCGGGATGCATGTGTCCCTCAAGGAAGAAAAGTGATGTGGATGCTGTGATCAGTGTGTGTGCTTTAACAAGTTTATAAAACTAACTTACTTAGGAAAATACTTGAGAACAAGCTTTGGCTTTTCTTCAGAGTACCATCCATCTTCATTGGGAACATCTCAGCTGGCGTTTGTATTACAGGATCCTAAGATACTAAAATTTATAAGCCCATGAAGAGTAGCTTTTCTCACAGTTACTGTAGTAAAGGGTCCTAAATTCATTAAAGGAAAAGTGACAGAGTCTAGGGAAGACCAATCACAAGTTTTCTTTTCCAGTCAAGTTGAATGACAACACATGTTTCTGTAAGCATCAGTGAGTAACAGCATATACATAATATTGGTAGCTGGAAAAGTTTCCCTGAGCCTTGGTGTTAAATTTTTATGGTGAGTCCTGTAAGCATGGTGTAGTTGCATGACCGATCTTAGTCTCCCAACTAGCATTGTGGCCCAGGACCCTTACATGTGTCACACTGTTAACACCTATTATTGTCTATACTCAAGGTTTCAGGTCAGCAAAAACACTCATGATCAGCAGGATGTTCCAAGGGCTTAATGACTTGGAGGCCAGACTTTTATCTTTGGAATGTGCAGGGTTTGAATATCAATCCTTTACTGCACAGTGTTATGATAAATCCTAAAGCCTCAGGAATGTGCTTAGAGCCTAAGCTGACTGCAGGTACTCTGTCTAGGAACTTCTCAGGCAGGAATCTTAAAGCCAATAGACTGGGAATGAGGCTTCCCTGTCCATGCTTCACTTGGTGCTTTGCATCTACGTTGTTGAGATTTGCTGCCTCATTTTTAAATCAAAGTATGCCCTCTCACTGTTGCATAGCACTCCTCCATGAGGGGTTATTAGCACCTTGTGATCCACTAGAAAAAATAATGGAAAGTCAGATATTCCTCTGGGTGCCTAGCCTTTGAGTTCTGAAGTTATGTGTCAGATCTAGAATTCATGATGTTAAGATGTATTTCTGACGTGGAAAGGGAAGTTAACTTGTACTGTTAATCTGAGAATCTTTTGTCTCTTCTCCAGGCCATGTCTAGAGTGTGGCGAGATGGTCAGAAACATCCTGTGCACATTTACCGACTCCTGACCACAGGTAAAACCCCTTCTCTGTGGCCAGAGATGTACAGCCTTGGAAGGATTGCCATTATTTTTCATTAAGGTGTGCTTTAATGTTAGGAATATGTTATCATTTTGTGAAGTTGATGCCAATAAGTATGTTTTGCCTTATAGTAGTAACACACATAAGGGTGTGAAGGGAGCCTAATGAATGTTTGCTCTCCAGGTACAATAGAAGAAAAGATCTATCAGAGGCAGATCAGTAAGCAGGGCCTCTCTGGGGCTGTTGTAGACCTATCCAAGACATCCGAGCATATTCACTTCTCAGTGGAGGAACTCAAGAATCTGTTCACGTTCCACGAAACTTCAGCCTGTGTCACTCACGATCTGCTTGACTGTGACTGTACAGGAGAAAGAGATCATACAGGTGGGTTGTTTCACTTCAGCAACTAAAGTAAGACTGATTTGCTTCTACTTAGCAGCTGTAAATATGTAGATAAATAAATATTCACAATTTGCTATAAATTGGTTCTTTTTTCCTCAGGTGACAGGGCAACTCAAATATTTGTAAAAATATCTAGTAGACTCATATTCTCTCAGTTCAACCTCTTATTTCAGATTGGTTGTGAAAATTTCCATTTTTTGGAAAAGATTTATTCTGTTTACCTGATTTTCCAGTACCAATTCAAAATGACAGAGGGGACAACAGAGGGAGAGATCCTCTGTTGGTTGGTTCACTCCCCAAATGGCTATGGTGGCTGGTACTGGGCTGGAGCAAAGCCATGAGCCAGGTATCTGAGTACTTGGGCCGTCTGCTGGCTGTTTCCCTAGATGCTTTACCAGGGGGCTAGACTGGAAGCAGAACAGCTGAAACCAGACCAGTGCTCTGGTAAGGGATGCTAGGATTGCACATGGCAGCTTAATTTACTGCACCACAAAGCCAGCTCATAAATTTAACTTATTTAAGAGATACTTTTGATCCTGGCTTCCAGAATTACAAAGATGCTTTGAATTCTTATTCCCATTTTCTGAGAAATGTCCCACTGTGTTTTATATTGTATAGAACTTACTCATAATGGCATTTACCATGAGAAGCCATACCTCTCAATGTCTGATGAGATCATAAAGCTCCATTTTCAGCCTCCACAAAGTTGAAAATGCCCATTGCTCAGAACTAGACCCCTTTCAGACAGGAGGTAGGTTGGAAGCATGACCTGAGCAAGCAGTCTCATATAGTTGGAAATCACTAGATAAATTATATTGAGATGTGCTTGAGAAGTTAGAGTATATAAGACTGACTTGGAAGTATAAGATATATACTTGTAAGTCTTAATATGTTATTTATAGTATAATTTATATATGATAATCAGAATTATAAGAATAACATACATTTAGAATTTAGCACATGTTATTTAAGTATACCTTATATACATATATATGATTTTTAAACTTAAGAAATGCTTTGGGCCTGGCACAGTAGCCTACTGGCTAAAGTCCTTGCCTTGCATACACCGAGATCCCATATGGGTGCTTGTTCTGGTTCTGGCTGCTCTACTTCCTATCCAGCTCCCTGTTTGTGGCCTGGGAAAGCAGTTAATGATGGCCCAAAGCCTTGGGACCCTGTACCTGCATGGGAGACCCAGAAGAGTTTCCTGGCTCCTGGCTTCAGATCGGCTCAGCTCTGGCCATTGCAGCTGCTGGGGGAGTGAATTAATGGATGGAAGATATTTCTCTCTGCCTCTCCTCCTCTCTCTGTATCTGACCTTCCAATTTTTTAAAAAAAGATAAGAATTTAAAATTAACATTTGATTCTATTTTGTGTTTATTATTTGTTTTGAAAATTTCTCATTTCTTTCCTACATTTTTTCTTTTATTTGCTCATTTTTGTGTGTGTGTGTTTTAGCTCAGTACCTAGTGTGATGATTTTCAGGCTTCTTTCTTTTTATTTTTAAGATTTGTTTATTTTGGGCCCGGCAGCATGGCCTAGTGGCTAAAGTCCTTGCCTTGAACGCCCAGGATCCCATATGGGCGCTGGTTCTAATCCAGGCAGCTCCGCTTCCCATCCAGCTCCCTGCTTGTGGCCTGGGAAAACAGTCAAGGATGGTCTAAAGCTTTGGGACCCTGTACCTGCATGGGATACCCGGAAGAAGTTCCTGGTTCCTGGCTTCGGATCGGCATAGCATCAGCCATTGCGGTCACTTGGGGAGTGAATCATCGGACGGAAGATCTTCCTCTCTGTCTCTCCTCCTCTCTGTGTATCTGACTTTCCAATAAATAAATAAATCTTAAAAGAAAAAAAAAAGATTTGTTTATTTTATTGAAAAGGTGGATTTACAGAGAGAAGGAGAGGTGGAGAGAAATATCTTTCATCTACTGATTCATTCCCCAAATAGTCTCAATGGCCAGAGCTGGGCTGATCTGAATCAGGAGCCAGGAGCTCTTCCGGGTCTCCCATGTGGATGCAGGGTCCCAAGGCCTTGGGCTGTCCTCCACTGCTTTCCCAGGCCACAGGCAGAGAGCTGGATGTGGGAGTGAAACAGCCGGGATGTGAAATCAGTGCCCGTATGGGATCCTGGTTAAATGTAAGGTGAGGATTTAGCCAGTAAGCCATTATGCTGGGCCCTGGATTATCTGTTTAATCCAGCCCAATATTGTCTTTTAACTAGAAAATTTAATCTGTTTACATTGATACTCTCATTCATTTCTAGCATCTTTTCTTGTACTTTTTTCTTTTTTTCAAATAGGGACTGATAAGGATAAACTCAATCTTTGATTATTCAAAGTGTTTTTATTTGTTTCTCTGTTGCAAGTTTTGTCCTTGCTGGGTAGGCAGTTGTAGTTGATAGGAGTTTTATGGCGTCAGTATTGGAAAAACACTACTCTAGTGTTTTCCACTACTGTTTGAGCCCTTTTATGTCCTTGGGCGCTTGGAACCTTTACTGGGGTGCATTGAGCCTGCCAGCCAGTGGTGATTGAAGAGAAACACAGCCACATTTGGTAAACCAGGCTCAAGGGAGCTGCCAAAGCTGCTGGGAAGTGTGACACAGTGTCTTGGAGAAAAATATACGTAGATTTGGTGAATATCTCCTGGCTCCTGAGACTTAGGTTTTACACAGTCCAGCCCTTGGTCCCTGGCTTCCCCGTGTGGTTGTCAGTCCTGCAGGCTGTCCTTGCAGTTGGCCTCTGTCCGTCCTGCAGCGGTGCCAGTGGCCCTCTCCGTCTGTGCTCTCTGTGTGTTCTCCTCCTGGAATGCTTTGCTTCTTCCCCTGCTAGTGCTTGCCCTTGCATCGCGGAGCTTCACGGAACCTTGCCTTAGGACATTCCTCTCAAACCTGACGCTGGGCCAGTCTCCTGTCCACGTGCTCTGGCAGTTCTTGTATCTTCCCACATGCCCTTGCTCCTGCTTCTCATACAGCTTTACGGTTCCTTGTCTTAAGGTCTCAACTCAGGAAAGCTCAGAAGACCAGAGAGATTTTTTTCCCCCTTATCAATTTATAGCAACATTCTTTGATGCTAAAACTGTACCTAAATTGATGAGGGTTTATTGGTATTTTTGTTTAACTCGTTGTTTAAGATTATTCATATGCTTTGCTATAGAATTTTAGTAAGTGTGATTGTGGAATGCTGAGCTAAACTGTTCCAGTTGAATGGGGAAACATCTGGCCCCATAGGTTTTTGCCTGAGGAATTGCAAACTTGTGCTGCATTTCTTGGATGATGATTTATTTGATGTGTATCTCTCACTTGATTAAAAGATCAAAGACCATGTCTGTGTTTGTTTACCATTTATGCCTCTAGTGCTTAAGTCAGCCCATAATAAACAAGGTATACATGTCTGTGACTGAACTGAATCTGTCTTAACTTAAAATCATGGTGATCAAATGTAATAAATCACCTAAGCTCATCGTGGTAACAGCAAGAGGTGTGTAGTAGGGTCGCTTCTTGTTGTTTTGCCTTTTCTAGGTGACTCACTGCAAACTTGCAAAGCCCGCCAACCTTGTCAGCTTGGTCCGTATCAGCAGGAGCCCAGCTCCCTGAAGCCTCTCTCCATGTCCCAGCTGAAGCAATGGAAACATTTTTCTGCAGATCATTCACATCATACAGACCCTTTTCTAGAAAGAATAAGAGAAAATGTGTCATTCTTTTTTCAGAATGTAACCAATCAAACTACAGTTACAAAATGAAAGATTATATCAGACATCTTACTCCCTGTTAAAAATTAATATTGTAATTAAGTTAATTTTTTATGAGAAATGGAATTAGTTAAATTGTATGTTTTTTTGCAAAAGACACTGGCTTTATTACAGTCATTAAAATTGAATTGTTTATTTTTATGGAGTCTTCATTGTTGCTAAATAAACATTTAAGATATGCTTCTGTTGTCTGTAGTAGTTCCATGATTAATATACTTTCATTAAATATCTTCTGAGAAATTTTCCCAAGACATGGAAGGAGATCAGATGCCTCTTTGTTTGGGAAATCCAAACAGATTAGGATTGTTAGACATAAATATGTGTGAGAGACTGCTAAAAAACCTAATATGCTTATAGCTCTAGGGACAAAGAACCAGGGGCTAGGATCGTGAGTGCTCAAGAGACTGGATGTAATAGTTGCTATAGGGCAGTTTGAATGAGAATAATTCATGTGGTGCAGAAAGTGAAGGACTTTGGGACATTTCATTTTTTATTAAAGATTTATTTGTGGTCAGCTCAGTAGCTCAAATAATTAATCCTTCACTTCCAAGTTCTGACATCCCAAATGGGCGCCAGTTCCTGTCCCAGCTGCTCCATTTCCCATCCAGTTCCCTGCTTGTGGCCTGGGAAAGCAGTAGAGAATGGGCCAAAGCCTTGGGATCCTGCACCTGTCTTGGAGACCTGGGAGAAGCTCCTGGCCTTGACTTTGGATTGGCTCAGCTCAGGCTGGCAAGGCCATTTTAGAGTGAACTAGCAGGTAGATCTTTGTCTCTCCTTCTCTCTGTAAATCTGTCTTTCCAACAAAAATAAAAATCTTTTTAGAAAATGGGAGAAATTAGAGAGATCTTCCATCTACTAGTTCACTTCCTAAATGGCTGCAGCAGCCAGGGCTGGACCAGGCTGAATCTAGGACAGAAACTACATCCAGGTCTTACATAACAGTTGCAGGGGCCCAAGTGCTTGGGGCATCTTTTACTGCTTGATGGTGCTCCTGTGTGGGACATCAGTGTTGGAAGTGGCAGCTTAGCCCACTGTACCACAGTGCCCTCTTCCCTTTGGGACATTAGAGTGGTAATTCCTAGCCTAGGATATTGGATTCTTGGCAGACCATCATGCCATCAAAAAGCAATGTTCTATACCTTACTAGGTGGGACACAGATATTAGTTGCTCCTCATTGGGGTATTAAAGATTTCTCTGCACACCCCGCCTAAAACTTCTGCACCTCAACTGTTGACATATGCCTTGTTAGAGTTATACACCAGTTTATCCTAAAATCTGCCAAGTTCAGCAAAATTATGCTTCAACACTATAAACTGCTAAATACTAAAATGAAAATAGACGCAAGATAGCTAAATAGTACCCTGTAACCATTTTAAGGTGTATAGCAGCCAGTTCTGTATATAAACTAAAATTGGAATGTCAATGAAGTAGTCACAGGATGTGGTTAAGAACTTGCACTTTTTTTTTTTTTTTACCATATTGGTTACTCAATACCATGTCAATTAATTGCATAATTTTGTTAATTGTTGTTGATGTTGTGTTGGGACTTTTAATTGATCAGGATGATATTATGGCAGCTCTACTTTCAGACCAGAGATGGTCTCCCCAAGAAACTGTTGAATTTATCTGGACAATAAGATGCTGGACTCTATGCTTGGTATATGTTTGCAAAGAAAGAGTCTTGACTGAATTTAAACTGTAATACTGCAACAAGGTGGAGGAATCCACCATGGGGGGAGGGCACGGGGAGGAGTTGGGGGAATCTCAGAGCCTATGAAACTGTATTACATAATGCAACGTAATTAAAAAAAAAAGGCAATGTTCAGGGGCTGGCTTGCGGTATATTAAGTTAAGCTGTGACCTGCACTTCTGGCATCTCACATGGGTACTGTGGAAATGGTCCACTCCATTTCCAGTCCAGCTGCTGGCCAATGTGTCTGGGAAAACAACAGAAAATGACACATTCTTGGACTCCTGAGCTACATGGGAGCCCTGGATGAAGCTCATGGCTCCTGACAGTTTGGTCCAAGCCTGGCCATTGCAGCCACCTGGATGGAAGATCTCTCTCTTTTGCTGTCTGTCTCTATTTCTATCACCTTCTAACTCTGACTTTTAGAAACATTAATCTTGAAACAAAACTGCATTTCTCAAACCTTGTATGTATACCAAATAATAGTTCAAATATCTTCACCTTAGGATTATCTCGATCAATTTTTTAAAATTTTTAAACATTTTTACGCAAAAGTCAGATATACAGAGAGGAGGAAAGACACAAAGGAAGATCTGACCACTGATTCGCTCCCCAAGTGGCTGCAACGGCTGGAACAGAGCCCATCTGAAGTCACAAGCCAGGAACTTCTCCCAGTTCTCCCACGTGGATGCAGGGTCCCAAGGCTTTGGGCCGTCATTGACTGCTTTCCCAGGCCACAAGCAGAGAGCTGGATAGGAAGCGGGACCACTGGGATATGAACGTGTGCCCATATGGGATCCTGGCATGTGCAAGGTGAGGACTTTAGCCAGTAGCCTGCCACACCGGGTCCTCTTGGTCAATTTTTGACATTAAAAAAATATCTTACTGTTCACCATAGGTTTTAGAAGACTGAAATCTGCTGAAAGAAAGGAACTACTATCAGATATCTATCCTCGGTGTCATCCCTGGGCAGCTGTACATCTCAGGCTGCTGAACCAGTCTGTCATCCCTGGGCAGTCTGGGACCACTTCTGTCAGAGGAAACAGTCAACTATATAAATCAAGGTGGTGTTTCTTGGCTCCATGTGTAGGCATCATGCATGAATGTGGGCAGAAATCCATTTTTATATCTTGCTCTGTACTTATTCTTGGGCATAAAGTCCTCAAGAAAGAAAAAAATGATGAAGACCAGGCAGTTTTGTTGCCTGCCTTAATGATGGTGGAAGTGAGAGCTTCTGCCCTGATTGCCTCCTTCAGGACCACTGATTATTTCCCAGCTGCCCAGCAGCATGCCCTGCTGTCCTAGCCAGATCCCTCCCTAAGAATAAGCCTCCATTGCAAGGAGCGGCAGCCTCATCCAAGGTCCCATTCCCTTCCCAGGCTGGCTGGTCTCCAGCATCTTCTCAGTGCAAGGTTCCCAGGCCCAGCACTTGTCACTCAGTGCTGACAATTCCAAAGGCCCATTCTTGCTCCACAGTAGCTTCGAGGGGAGTTCATGGCCATTTCATTGCTATTCTGCTCTTCTTGGCACTTCAGCTTCCTGTGTTTTTTTCACAGACTATGTTACTAAAGGCAGCTCCCAAGAAAGTGATCTATGCCTCAATCTGTTTTGCAGGAAGCCTGACATAAGGCACTACCCACAGAGGTATCACCAAAGAAAAACAGTTTAAGAATTATAACTGGTGGCATCAAAACGTAAATACTTTTGGCCAGATCAACATTTAATGGGAAGAACATGTAAAGTCAGGTTTAAAAAGCATGTCTGACAGATTTGTTTTCTAACTTCGTTTGCATCTCCTCCAGATTGATATGTTGCAGTGCCAACCTCCGGTGTGGTACTGCTAGGAGCTGGGGCCTTTGACAGTTTGATCATGAGATGGAGCCCTCATTAGTGGGTGAGAGGAGAGCTTTCTTTCCCTGTTCTCTGCTGGGTGAGGCTACCACACAGGTGGCTGAGCATCTTCAAAGCAGGCAAAGGACCTTCGCCAGGTACTGGTTCTGCTGGCACTTGAATCTTGGACTTTTAACCTTCATATCAGGAAAAAGTAAATTTATCTTAGTCTAAGCCAAATAGTCTGGTTTTGTCTTACAACAGCCTGAACTAAAGACAATCATGTTTTAAAAACGGACAGTGTCTTCCTCCCCCAAATTACCACTTCTTCTAATTCTTTGTTTAAAAACATGAATAATGCAATAACTTTAGATACAGACTGTAATAATTCTTAGTGCCTAAGAATGGTTATTGAGGGCCTGGTGCCGTGGCCTAGTGGCTAAAGTCCTTGCCTTGAATGTGCCTGGATCCCATATGGGCGCCGGTTCTAATCTCAGCAGCTCCACTTCCCATCCAGCTCCCTACCTGTGGCCTGGGAAAGCATTAGAGGACAGCCCAAAGCTTTGGGACCCTGCACCTGCGTGGGAGACCTGGAGGAAGCTCCTGGTTCCTGGGCTTCGGATTGGAACAGCACCGGCCATTGCACAGCAGTGTAGGAGGCAAGAGGAACCACATCGGGGCACAACACCAGCCAGTTCACATTAGGACCAGGACAACAATCAGACTGGGCTGGGCTGCGATAGGCTGCAGCACCCACCAACAGGAGCTGGAATGGGCACAGACTAGACCAGACCAGGTGGATCAATTAGACTACGGTAGCTCCAGTGAGGTGAGTCATGCCAGCCTGGGCCAGCGGGGGCTGGGCATGTGAATCCCAGGGACAGGGGATCTGACGGGGCTTGGGTAGCTTGGCTTAGGTCATGGGGCCCACCTGTGTGGTGAAGGATGGATTCCTAAACTCCAGAGATGGGAGAACTGGTAGGTTTTGGGTCACTTGTCCCAGATCCTGGGGCCTGCCTTGTAGGTGGGTGTTGGTTTTGTGAACCCCAGGGGTGGGGGATCCAGTTGGGCTTGGGTCTCCTGGCACGGATCCCAGGACCAGCATACTAGGTAGGTGCCGGGTTTGAGAGCCACAGGAGTACGGGACTCAGTGGAACTCAGATCACCTGGCAAGCACGATGTGAGTTTATGGGCCCTAGAGGTGGGGGATCCAGCGGGGCTTTGGTCTCCTGGCCCGGGCCATCAGGCCCGCCTACTAGGTGGATGTCGGGTTTCTGTGTCCCAGGGGTGTGGGATCTGGCTATGCTTGGAACACCTGGTCCAGCTGCTTGAACTCGCCTTTAAGAACATGCTCTACTTAATGAAAAAGGTGGAGTAGTGGACATAGGGCCTGTGGTAAATGGAGAATATGGCAGTACATTTGTGCTGCAGCAGAAGAACAGAACTAACTGGACAACTACCCCAAACGAACTATGACGGCAAAAAATCTCGGTGAGTGGAGCCAGTGGACATTGGGAGGGTGACATCATCCTTGGATTGGTGAAATCGGCAGCATTTCAG